ATGAGATTAACAGAACTATATCTGTACAAGTTCGGAATAAGTTTCATATTTTTTAATTTTCTGCAGAGTTTTAAACTTTTATCGAACAGTCCGCAATTAAAAAACCCAGTAAAAATATTACTGACTGGATTAGTGTGTATATGTTATATGCAACTTATCTGTTGTAATATTCAACGAATTGGTTCGGTATTGGTGCTTAGTTGAAAGTTCACAATCGCATAAATTGTTTCGTCCACGTCTTTGGAGTCGTCAGCACACCAGTGACAAGGCCTATACCAACAGCAGCGTTTGACAGTAGGCAGCATGTCCCGGGCTCAAATAGTTTATTTTGCTTTGCTGGGCCCGCTGTCACAGTATAACATGTTGCCTACGCGCCTGCCACTGGGCTGGTCGTCAGCAACATCTCGAAGCGCTGCCAATAGTTTTACGAATTTAATATCAATTGCAGCCGAGCAGACTCCGGCATCCTTAAGGCAGAAGAAGAAGTGGGATATTCCCGCCGTACAACGTACCATTGTTACATGGTTTAGATCGCCACGGGCTCTAACCCATCCGGAAGCAACTTCTAAACTAATGATAACTTTCGTAAGGATGCAAATAAATAAGAGTTTATAAGGGAATTTCTGCAATCGGTTGTGTTGGTGCTTATTTATTGGTTGAAATGTTATGAAAGAACATATATTTAGATGTATAGTTTTTATGCAAATATTTATTGTGAAGTATGCGGTTTATGTATTCGATGCCATAACGTATTAACAATAAAAAACTTTAAGAAATCATTTAGCACACCCTAAAATGCCGGACCAATCGCATGATGCAGATACCACAGACAAACAGACATAATACATTGAATATTTCTCACTGTAAAACATGGTCGCTAAAACATTACCGCCATCTGTTGAGTACACTGTGGTGGGCACTACGCTGAACAGATGGTGGTAGTGTGTAAACGTCAAACGCAAGGGAATTGACTATGCGCGCCACAGGTGGTGGTACTACCAACTACGATACTTTTAAATTTTCCGTTAAATCCTTGTTCGATGAACAACTTTCGAGTGTTATGTCTGTTTGTCTGTGCAGATACCATCTAAAAAATGTCTCGATTTAGTTTTAATAGTAAAATGTCCTCCCGCATAAACGCGAACCATAAATTGACCTTACCGATAATGGTTATAAATTGTTTATAATCCCTCCTTAACTTTAACTGAAATGGTTTTGGAACCTTACATGAACGTTTGTGTGATAAAGATTTAACCTTATGTATTATGGTTTTTAGGAAGCGGACCTTACAAATAATGGGTTGTTAAGACCCATTACCATTTCAAATTCTTGTTTTCTCCATACATTTTTGGAAAGAGAACTATATTAGAACGTTTTTACTTATGGTTTGAGAACATTAATGATTATGGTTATGGTAGTCAGTAAGGCCCATGAATGGTTTTGTAACATCGATCAACTTTATGTGGAATATATCGCGAATTGGTTGCCTGTAAATTAATAATTATCAGTTCGCGATATATTCCACGTAAAGTTGAGCGATAATACAAAACGATTAATGGACCTTACTGATTACCATAACCATAATCATTAATGTTCTCAAACCATAAGTAAAATAGTTCTTATATAGTTCTCTTTCCGAAAATGTATGGAGAAAACAAGAATTTGGAATGGTAATGGTTCTTAACGACCCATTATTTGTAAGGTCCGCTTCCTAAAAACCATAATACCACAGACAAACAGACGTAACTCTTTGAAAAACTTGTTCTTGAAAACATAGTATCTCAAAACATATAACCTCAGTAACGACATCTCTCTGGCTTCTCGCGGAAAACAAGCTTGCTCGTTAACTCGTAAACAATATTGCATAAAAGTTCTATGGAATATATAGAAACGTCAAAGTGATCCGATGCCAGCGCTGCGGCGAGTAGTTCGCGGAACTGATAATATTCAAATCAACCGTTAAATGCATGAACGAAGATACACAATGAAGAGTTACGTCTGTTTGTCTGTGATAATACATAAGTTTAAAACTTTATCACACAAACGTTCATGTAAGGTTCCAAAACCATTTCAGTTAAAGTTTAGGAGGGATTATAAACAATTTATAACCATTATCGGTAAGGCCAAGTGATGGTTTGCGTTTATGCGGGCTCCAATGCACCTCCAATTATTCAAAATTGAGTTTTTATGTTTACTCAATTTTACCTAGCCCCTATTCTGTATTTCGTTCGAAACGAAATTCCTGAAAAAAAATTTTTTGTACGGGAATTTCGTTTTGAACGAAATACACAATAGAGGTGATAGTTTCGGAAATAGTGCGCGTCATTGCGCGAATACATCGCACTACTTTCGAAACTATGTATAACGTATAGTACGAGAGTAAATTCAACTGTACCTATGGTAAAATCTATTGTAAATGATTGTTATTTCAATAAACAAAATAATCATTTGTTTTCATATGACAATTATTTAAAAATAGCATCTCTACACAGAGATAATTTGGATTGGGCAGAGATATAAAATGTATAAGCAATACATTTCATGTTACAAGTCTGAATCGATGTATATAGATTATATACATTTTCTATAATTTTTAAAGCATAACCACAAAACTATTTTGGGCCGATCAAGCAGAAAACATCAAATAAATCCATGATTTCAGAGTTAACAAGTCAATTATGGGTTTGGTACGATACTTTAGTCAATTAGCTATCGAACAACGTCAATGAGAATGCGTGATTTGAAGCTTTGCACCCATAATTCACAAAAACAAAAGAAGCGCTCCGACCGAATCAATTTTTATCTTCATCCGATAGGCCGGTGAATTCAATGGCGTTTCATGGCGAGTTTCGCATCAAGAAGCAGTGATAGACTTTTGACAATATCTCAACGATTTCTCTTTATTAAATCTTACGGTACGTACAGAAAGGTAAATAAATTTGGAAGCCATCAGTAAGAATAACATTTCGTCGATGTCTTCTCGGTCGCGGTTGACTCTAATAGCGAATTCGTTTATTATTCAGTTCCAACCTGGATCGGGTATCAAGATTGGGCCTGCTTGTTTTCTGACAAACGTCAGTTCGATCGTTTGTTTTTAAAACCCAGCTCAGGTTGAGGTTCGCACTGACAAAAAGTTCGGTTTCGCACTGGGTTGGAACTGGTTCCAACCCCGATAATAAACGAATTCGCTATAACTTTGGTTAGAAGCACGGACTGAAGAAATCTGTAGCAACAATGGCAACAAACGCGAGTCATTGGCAGCTCAACATCGTTTACTTCTAAGCAAATGTTAACCCGATGTGTTCACCCCTAATCATTTTGGCATATAATCTTTTGTTATACAAAAGAAAAACAGATAACAACTAAACGTCATAATGACATGCTGTTTGACAACAGGCTCTCCCTTTAAATTTTCGTTAGAGAAAAAGAGATAACATACGGTACTTCCTACTTTAAGCTAGTACATATGAGTAGATAGTGTTGCCGTGAGGTACACTCGAAAACTTCAAATGTAAGTGCGTCAAATCAAATTTCGAGCCGCTCCGTCTGTCACTTCGTTTGTGGTATAAGGCTGATGTTTTGGCAACTGGCATCACTGATAAGTTCGAAATGTGGTGGCTTGTTCAATGCTTCAGTGGCACCACCATGACAAATGCAAGCACATTCCCAACTAAAACATTATTTGCGATGAATGTGATTGTGAGTGTTATGTCTGTTTGTCTGTGATATAATCATAAATAAATTAATTTAAATACGGAAACGTTCGAGGAAATATCGAAGTCCCAAACACACAAACACAAATACACTAAGGCTGTGAACCATTTGCCGAGTTAAATTTAACTCGTGGTTAAAAGTGACATTTCGAAAGTTATTTTCTATGTTCGAAAATCCCCGTCCTGTCGATCGACCGGTTTTCGAGCCACGATTGTCAAAATTTAACTTCTTGCCTGTCAGAAATAACCACGCTCGGATAGCAGGGTTAATCGATAACTTTCCATCTGTCAAATTTTAACCAAAAGTTAAAAAAATCCACCAAATGGTTCACAGCCTAAATAGGTTTACGTGAATAACCGGTCGATTTCGCCAACATTTTTAGTGGACATTACGTGTAATGCAGGTCAAAGTTACTAACGTCACGTAACATTTGAGTTTTTCTAAATACGAGATCAGTAGGATTTTGTCAGAGTGCGGGAAAGTGCCGATAATGTGTCCGTCGCGTACATGTACACGTCGTTAAGCAAAATAATCATACAAATTCTATTAGGGTAGGTAGGCAATCTCTGTATAAAAGAAACTCACTCTCGATTTCTTGGCTGATTTCGAGCCAATTGACCCTAAAATGCGAGGGCTTTACTTCCCTCGCGATCAGAGATGTTAAAAAATCCCGACAGCGCCGACTGGGATTGAACTCAGGCCCTTTAGAGTGAGAGCTTAAAGACTTCATAACTTAAATCTATCAAGCATGCTCAAATTCACCAATCTTCTTTCTTTCAATAGTTTATTGTATATTTAGCGAGATATTTAGCCATATGAATAAGTAAAGACTGTAAACTTTCCCGAGTTTTTCTTAAGCCTAAACTCTTTTATTTATACAACGCATATGATTATGTTTCAATCTGCATTATTTTGATCCATATTCTAGTTTTGGTTCGAACCATACCAATTTTTGTTATGGTTCGAACCAAAACAAGAATATGGGTGATTTTAATCAATATTCACCCATATGCTCGTTTTCGTTCGAACCGTATTTTCTACACAAAACAAAAATAAATGTTTTTTTTTTGTATGGAAAATGCGGTTCGAACGAAAACAAGAATATGGGTGATTATCTTACAGATTTTGCCCAAATTCGTATTTCTAAAACATATTAGAATAGTCTCGTTGTAGACATCCAGATAAAACGTTCGCTTATACTTAAATTAAAATTAAAACAAATTCTAACGACTAACGGTAGACCATAAAAATCACGATACTCTTTCGTTACAAAACCAAATGCCATTTTTATTCCGTTCAATACTTTTCCACCTTCCCCTTGACGATCTTCACCTGCTCCGATGGTCGATCGTTCTTGTCGGTTTCGACCTGCCCCATCCGCTTGACCGCTTGCATTCCCGTGTGAATCCGACCGAAAATAGTGTGCTTTCCGTCGAGCCATTGCGTCGGTGCCAAGGTAATGAAAAATTGCGACCCATTCGTATCCGGACCAGAATTCGCCATCGAAATCACTCCGGCCCCGGTGTGCTTCAGATCGGCATTGATCTCATCGGCAAACGTGGGCCCGTAGATCGATTGTCCGCCGCGTCCGGTTCCCGTTGGGTCGCCGCCCTGGATCATAAAGTCCCGTATGACACGGTGAAAGATGGTTCCATTGTAGTAACCCCGTCGCGTCAGTTCAGCAAAGTTCCGGCAGGTGTTGGGCGCGTGCTTCCAGTACAGTTCAATTGAAATTTCTCCCATCCTGGAATGAGTACTGATGTGATTACATTTTTCATCTATGAATAAAACTACCTGCAACTTACGTTGTTTCAAATGTGACAAAGTGTGGTTGCCACAGTTTGTCGGGAATTCCAGCAGTCGCCGTTCCGGGTTGAATTGCGAGCATTATTTTTAATATTAACAGCAATAAACACTAAAAAAAAAAATCACTGATGGCCGCTTTGTTATGACTGATCCGGTGTTTGGCTTTGTTGTTTTTCTTTCACAATGAAAGTGTTCGTCGATTAAATTCGAGGGGTTATTCGTTCGCAAAAAAGATAAATAAATAATGGTGGGACTTTGATGGGGCTCCACATAAACTCGAACCATAACTTGACCTTCCCAAAAATGGATAAAAATGGTTTATAACTGAGTGGCGGTAAGCGAGGCGGTAAGCTCCAACCGATATCCTCGGATTAAATCCCGATCAATAATGTTCGACGGCTTTAATGTCAACATCTGACTTAATCAACACGACTCTAAGCAAGCATTATGCAGATCATCAAAACAGCCAGCATAAAAAATAACCATAAGAAGCGCCTGACCGCCAATTCGGGATATCATCCCAACTTTATGTGGTATGCTCATACTATCTATGATATTGTTAGTGTATGGTACCCGTTTAATAGGGAGGGACGAGATTAAAAGTTAATCCAGGTTGGATCTTACCGCCATAAATGTTCTTCTTCTTTTCACCCTTTAGTGGCAAGTCCGTCCACTGTTGACACCATAAATGTTTGCCAACAAAAATCCAGCGATCGGGACCAACACTAAGACTTACGTTCCTTGAACAGATTCGTTCGAATGACAAAGTATTAAGATCAACACGAGGATCAGCACTAAAAAATGTATTCCAATTAAATAAATTGTTAAATACATAATAGAACAAGTGTATCTTAAAGGCTGGCCAAATGTATACATACAAATTAAAAAGTACGAATATTTCATTGCAATAATCACTAATGATTGAAAACATCGTCAACAAAAAAAAACTTAAATATAAAAATAAGCGGGTCTGAAGGAAATCTCGATGAACATTTCAAATGGTCCTATCTGCTTTGATCGATTCTCTTCATCGACTTTCTCTTTCGTCAATAACTCAGCTGCAAAACCTTTCCCTGTTGTATTTGACGTTTTGGACGCTAGATAGGAACCTACTTTATCAAACTATGTGGTAGAATTAGCGCGAAATCTGTTTGCATAGCAGCGGTTATGAAAAGAGAAAGTCGATGAAGAGAATCGATTAAAGCAGATAGGACCATTTGAAATGTTCATTTTAAACGGTCGAATATGCTTTTACTGATTTAATCAGTAAAAGCATATTCGACCGTTTAAAATGCTATTGATCAGTTTCTTATAGTACGTTCAGACTACTGAGTTATAACATGTTGTAGCACTATCTTGATGGTGGTTTCTGTGTTGCAATTAGTTGACAACCGTTATAACATGTTATACCTCTCCAGTCTGGACAGCGTTTTACTTGGTAACCATATTAAAACGTATTCTGAACATTACAAAATATTGGCTCAGTCAAGTAATTGCAAACAAATAATAAGAAAATCACGATCGAGGCCTCATTTTTGCTCTGGAAAAAAGGCGCCAACTTGTGAGCCATGTTGAAAGGATGTCAACAAAGTCAAGAAAGTGATCGACTCCACAGCACTCAGGTTTATAATCCCTGCTAAATTTTAACTGAAATGGTTATGGAACTATGCATGAACATTTGTGTTATAAAGTTTTAACTTATTATATTATGTTTTTTTTTGGAACTGGATGCAAATAATGGGTTGTTAAGAACCATAACCATTAAAAATAATTGGGTTCTTTAGGTAAATACATATGGAATCTAAAATTTCATCAATTTTGGTATCCCGTTTATTTTCGGAAAAGGAACTATAATATATTAGCACCTTTTTACTTGTGGTTTGAAAATTTTAATGGCAATGGTTATGGTAGCCAGTAAGGTCAGTATATGGTTTTGAAACATTGGGTAACTTTATGTGGCATATATTGCGAATAAATAATCATTTATTTAAAGGCTACCAATTCGTGATATATTCCACATATTTTTTTTTTATTTCAATTTGTTTTCCATCAATCTTGTTTTCCGTGCTGAGCACCAATGCTACCGACGCCAGGGAGGCAGCTCCCCCACACTTGAACCCTACCTATCTACCCATCAATTCATCAACCGGGGACCAACGGCTTTACTTCCCTTCCGAAGGAAATCGTGATCAGAGCCTGATTATGCCTCAGAACATCCCGGCGGCGCCGACTGGAATTGAACCCAGACCTGCTGAGGTGAGAGATAATCACGCTTACCACTACAGCACCGGCGCTGCTTCCACCGTTGATACAAAACCGTATATTGAACTTAATGACTATCACACCAAATTTAAATCGCTGAATCCGTGCAGAATTTTGCTGATTTTAGACTTGATGAAAGATCAGCAAATTTTCCATCAAAATAATGCTGCTGAATTTTTCAGCAATTCAAGTCAAAATGACAACATTTTACTGATAATCAGCAAAAATTTCAGCAAGAAGCAAATAGATTTTTCAGCAATAAAAATTCTGACAGCTCACAGCATTTTGCTGAATAAACTCAGTGAATCCAATATTTTTTTTAATTGGGGCTGGCAGATTCTATAAAATTTTTTTTGATACAAATACACAAATAATAAAGACAAAATTGCCGGGGTCTTTTCCATGCATAATTTATTAAAATTTATTTTAACCAGTGCTCTTACCAACATAATTTTATATATTTGTAGTTTTGTTTATCTCCTCCTCCTCGGTGGTTTGTCGAGTGGTTTGTACGAATCGTACGAATGCAAATATTTGCGACTGTGACGCTAACAGATTGACACCTCTTTACTGGGTGTCCAGCAAACCGTTTATGTTAGCTAAATTTTTCGGTAAAAACATCGTTTGCTGTTTCTCAGCAAAGCTTTTTTGTTGCTGATCATGATCCATCAAACTGTTTTACTGATAACGAAAACTAAAATTTGGTGTTTACATTAAAGATTGCCAATCAATTAACCACTTCATTCGAGCAGATAAAATGACGTTTACTACCACTCGAACTTTGAAATGAAACATTATTTTGAGATTTTTTCTTCTAGAACCTCGAAAAAAGAAGCCAACATTTGTGCGTTTCACAAAAAAATAGAAATTAGTTGGTCCAGTTTTGTGAAATCGCTGGTAGAAAGTCACGCCAAAACTGCTTGACAAAGTGGTCAATTAACCACTAACTTCATTCGAGCAGTTAAAATGAGGTTTACTACCGCTCGAACTTTGAAATTAAACATTATTTAGAGATTTTTTCTTCTAGAACCACAAGAAAAATAGCCAAAATTTGTGCGTTTCATAAAAAAATAGAAATTAGTTGGTCCAGTTTTGTGAAATCGCTGGTAGAGTCACGCCAAAACTGCAATTTCTCAAACCGTAGAGTCTGTGTGTGTACTTTTAACGCTTTTGCTGCCCCGCGGTAGAGTTGACGTTTTGTATTTTTGTTTTGCAGCCAGTCAACTAAAACAAGCAGTTATTTTTTTCAGTGTACATCCCGAGCCTACCTACCAATAAGCAACCAGCCCATGATCCGTTTCATCGATTAATTTAAAAAGCCGTCGATCATCGGTCGAAAAGTGTCAAAACAGATGGTTTTCTTCTGCTTTCTTGTTTGTGGTGCCGGGAAAATCCGTTCGCACGGCGCGGAACGGTCAAACCAAACGGATTTTCTACAGCCCTTTGAATCACAACCGTCTTAGCCTTTATCAGTGTTAGTTCTTCTAACGAACTTCGAACGATCGAAAGAAACTTTCCTTTTAACTGTAGTTAGCTAAATTATTCCAAATGAATTGGCTGTGATCAGTGCTGTAATAAGAAAGGAAGTTAGTTAAGTTTTCAACGAAGCTTTAAATTGTGTTCATGAAGTACTTATGAGAAGATTCGAAGAATCGGTTCCAGGATGGATCAGGAAGCATTCCTAACTCCGCGCAAAATCTTCCAGAATGCGTTTAACGCTGCCCGGAGGTCAACGACCGGTGCTAGTTCCCCGTCGATTAAAGCGTACACGCCGACGTCGCTGTCCCGAACGGCCGCCGGTACCAGTAGAATCAATTTACTTCCGGTCATCCAAACGCCCCCTTCGAGAATGGTCAAGGGCAAAGTGATAAATCCGTTCGAAGCTCATCTGACCGATCGGTTGCATCTGCCGGTGATTTGTAGTCCTTCACTGTTTCAAAGGCCAAGCACACCTCAGAACGGGAGCGTCACACAGTTTGAATGGACTATCGACGAGGTGAGCTATCTGGGACCGGCCAACGTTGAAGCGCACGAAACACAGTTTATGGAAACACCTGACCCGGTGCTGGAAGCGAAGGCCCAGGCAGCAATCAGTACATATTTCAAAGAGCATAGCATAGGTAGGTATCTGCAGCACAGTTTTTTTTTTTTTTGAAAATGACCGTTGGAAACATTGTTTCGATTTCAGTTCCTAGTCCCATTGATTGTCAGCTACGCAGTCAAAAAATATGTTTAAAAGGCGAATCATCCACCGGAAATAGCTTCATCGGACGAAAGTCCAAACGGAGACGGGACGGAATCACCCAAACAGTACTGACGTTTCCTCCGAATTTGCCCAAAGAAGTTGAAGACTTGTTAGCACCCTACTTTTGTTTCCATGATGTGAGTACACTCAGTATTTTTTTGAACATTCTTGAAATGTGTAATTTTCAACTTTTGCAGAACCAGCAGCAAACCCATGAAGCGATTAACGAGTCGGACATTAGTATCGATCACGATGCCCGAGATGCATCGCTTCGGCGAAAGTTGTTCAATTGCTCCAGCACTTCGACCGTTTCGGAGACCGATCGGGATGATTCGTTTGATCGCTATGATCTACGCTCGCTTAGTCCTGCGCCGGTCACGCCGGAAGTCGATAGAGAAACGGTGCAAAATTTGAAACGATCGCGTTGCTTTGGATCTCAGGAAATTAAGATCGATCCTGGTGATATTTCCCTTAGTCCAGTAGTCGATCGGGAAAAAGGCTCGTTTGGAGCTCTTTCGCCGATTTCCAAAACCTCTTCTTCACCATCTCCGTTGAAACCAGATTTAAATTCAACGGAATTACCGGACCATGATGCCATCTATCGAAGCACACCGGAACGCTCAAAAAATGCCATAATTCAGATGAACTGCAGCGCCAACAGTCACCATATGTCGGTTGATCTTGGTAATTATCTTGAGTACTGACAACAATTAGGAATGGCTATCAAATTGTACTTTGTGCTATTAGTCTTAAGAAATAAATAATGACGATATCGGTAAAATTCAGTTTGAAAACCATTTCTTTCGAAAAGTATCAATAATCCAAGAAAATCTAATTTCCCGTTTGTTCCAGGCGAAAAACAAACCGATATAACGGTGGAATTCACCGAAGAGGATCTTTCCTACGAGGACAATCCGCTGGGATCATCACAATCGACATCTTCGGTGTCCCAGCATCCAACCACACCGCTGCGCCGCACACCAAGGGAAAGACGACGCAACCGGAAGAACCTGTCCCGTTCGTTTCTGATGTACTCGGACGAGGATCGCTTCGAAGAAGAACAGCAACTTTCACAAGAAGCAAACCACAAAAGCTTTTCCGCCATCTGTATCGACAAGGAGAACATCCCCAGCAACGTTTGTCGATACTTGGCGAAATCTGTTCCGGAAACTGGTAACGGCGGTGTCTTCTATCGCACGGACAGTGGGTTCAACGAGGAGGAAACACGCGCGAGTCAAGAGACTGTTGATTATAACGAGACTGATGTTTCAATGCAATCCGAATGCTGCGAGATTGGCCGGCTGACACCTCAACGTTGGAAGATGTCATCAGCCAGTTCCGACGGACAGCATCACACGGGTTGCTCGATAAGACTGTAAAACAGCGAAGGTGATTGAGATTGTATTTTAAGCTAGTATATTTTTTCAATGAAAAGTCGTACAGATTAATGCATTTTTTTTCAGTTTTTGTAGGTAATTAGTCAGCAATGTTGCTGGAAATATGTTTCCTATGTGTATTTTAGAACAATAATTTCAGAATATAATCATAAACATGTTTTTTTTTTGTTAAATTTATAACTAAATGACTTTGCTGGTGGAAAGAAAGCATTATTTCTAAATTCTCAATGGGTACAAGGCAGAGAGTCAACTGTTGATCTTTATTGAATGGTTAAATAACTGAAATAAGTTCAAAACGGTTATGTCTCAACTTACTCAATTTATGCATGTTCCCTTACCGCTCATTGTGTACCCGCATAAACTAGAACCACAACTTGACCTTACTGAAAATGGTTAAAAATTGTTTATAAACCTTACTAAACTATAACTGAAATGGTTATGGAACTTTACATGAACGTTTGTGTGATAAAGTTTTAACCATATATATTATGTTTTTTTGGAGGTGAACCTTACAAATAATGGGTTGTTAAGAACCATTACCATTCTCCATACATTTTCGAAAAGAGAACTTTCGAACTATATTAGAACCTTTTTGCTTATGGTTTGAAAATTTTAATGGTAATGGTTATGGTAGTCAGTCACGTCAAACGTTCATGTAAAGTTCCATAACCATTTCAGTTGAAGTTTAGCAGGGATTATAAACAATTTTTAACCATTTTCGGTAAGGTCATGAGTTTATCATTTCTATCGTGGAAACTAACGATACTAACGATTGGCTCATTTCTTGACTAGCCTATTGGTCCCAAGCAAACGATTAACGTACCCCATTCTAGTCGAAATTTTAGTGCTACACTATGTTTGTTTTGATTCGCATTGAAAGTTTGACAGATAAAATGAGGGGTTTGTGGATTTTCCTATGTTTCGAGGGGTGCATCGATTAGCTTGGGACCAAAGATAGTACCAGAGTTGAGCCAAAAAGATGAGCACGTTTCTTCGGGACCTACTAGTCTTACATAGTTACATCTATGCTTACAGCATGTGACAGCAATGATAAACACAGCTTCATTGTTTGGGCCATTTTAAAGTATTCTAAATCGAGGGGGAAGACAGTGAGAAATTAAGAGCAATCCAGAGTAACTCTGAGGAACTCTTTTGCTTTCTGATGATGAATTTTATTATCTCGATTGTTTTGACAGCGCAGCCCAAGCAATCAATGTTTTCGGTGTATAGAAACGTTAGTTTTTTCAGCCGGTGATCTATGGCGTAAAATACACTCAATTCATCGGAGAACCGGTTAGCAAAACAATCATCACGCAATAACGTTGCTGGTTTTGATACAACATAAATGGGGCTAGGGGGCGTCTGTGGGGGGGGGGGGGTTTGGTGGAATTGTTTGTACATTTGTATTTTCCTGTTCTAGCAACCGAGACCCCACAGGATTCATCCTCAAGTACATGTCCCCACCGGAGCTGGTAGCCGCAAAGGGAATATCTATTCGCTTGCTTTAAGCATCTTGGTACTACTGGTACTACGGTAGCAACATCCTGGTCAATTTCATTACCATTGCAAAGAGAAAAGTGCCCTGCAGAAAGCCATCATTAGAGTGATTTAAGAAAATAGCCAAAACTTCAATGAACTGGTAGAAAACGAGATCATTTCCTCGTTCTAAATATAATAAAATTATATCTATTCTTAAGGCCGGCGCACAATGGATAAGTTTTCAGGTTTTTTGACAGTTAGCCCATGCATTATCTGTCAAATAACCCGGAAACTTATGCATTGTGCGCCAGCCTTTAGTGTCGATGCCATTGTGTGAACTATTTGCCGAGTTAAATTTATATCGTGGTTAAAAGTGACACTTCGAAAGTTATTGTCTATGTTCGAAAATCCCTGTGCTGTCGATCGACCGGTTTTTGAGAAGAACTTAAGCAAGGTTGTCAAAATTCAACTTCTCGTCTGTCATAAGTAACCACGCTCGGATAGCAGGTTAATCGATAACTTTCCATCTGTCAAATTTTAACTAAAAGTTAAAATAATCCTCCAAATGGTGCAGAGCCTTAGTTGAGGATAATAGAATAGTACCTAGGGTATACGTCCCTAACCTCGGTCTAATATGCAGCCATAGATTACGTTTTTAATCATAACTCATCAATTAATTTACCTGCAAACGATATTCTACTGCTAAATGGTATGCTTAGATATGCTTATCATGTCGTTTGCTATCAGGAACCGCAAAAAGTTGAAAAACTTACTTTTTTTAAGACAAAAACTCACCAGGGAAATGTATGTAATATCGGTCTATTGTCCCCAAATTGGGTCTATTTATGGATGCAACTTCGTCCTATCCTGTTTGATTCTCAAAAAAAACGCTCTTGGTAACGTTTTCTTATGTATTTTTTTTTATCACTATCACTGTTAACTTAATACTCTTCATTCCTCAAAACATTTCTTAGAGAAAATTTTACGAAAACTACATTAAATCACTCAAGTTAAAAATTAAAAATTAAAAATTTCGCTTATCGTCTTTCGACCGCAGAATATCTAAATCAAAACATTGTGATGTTCATTATACAGATTTGGCAGAAAAAATCTCCCTTCCTGTTCGTTCCTTATCATCCAAATGCAAACCACATTGTTGACGTTACTCTTATTGCTATATGCTGTCAAATGAATTTCATGGGCCAAAGTTAGGAACATAGAAAAGAAATGTGTCCCTAAAGTTGGGTCCATGATTTACTTGTGAAAACGTTGTTAAACAATTAAAATAAACATAAAATATTCAAACAGTAACTGTGAGTTTTACGTCTAGTGTGTATTATCAGGTAATTCCATTCAATAAATGCCATAATCAGGCCATTTGATGATCGTCAGTGCAACCTTCCCATCTTAACCTTAGAAGTCATGGCGGCTAAAAACTCCGAACAGAGTGATATTCTCAACCAGTTTTATTACTTACGAGAGCTGAAAATGTATTGAAATGTTGTGATATAAATTGATTTGTGTGTGGTACACATTTATCAATCATCAGTGATCAATATTTTCCTTATTTTTTGTGTAATATTCCTTAATTAATTATTTATTTGCGTGATAGGCCGAATGAAAGGACTAGACCCACATTACATACCGTAACCCTATATGATTTTTCTTTGCATAACTTACCTAAAAAGCTTCGCAAAATTTCTTCTGGCAGCTGTAAATCATCCAACACCACGGATACAAAGACTTCAAGTGCCATATCGAACGCTTTTTCTTTTAATGCCAGAAAACATAAAAAGTATAATTCAAAAATTATAACCTTCATCCATGAAGCTTGACTTATACCTTTTATTGGGTCAACAAATACAAGATATATAGAAAGTAGATGCATTGTATAGGGTTTTTGATCTAATTTCCGTCCTACTAAGCACAACCCGCGTTTTACCTATCTTATTTAGAACGATTTTGAACAAAAAATTGAATATTTTTTTCAGAGATCACCTTTCCATACGTACCGTTGGATTTGATAAAGAGTCACAAATTGTTGAGATATTGTTCAAAATCTAATACTGCTTCTTGATTCTAAATCCGTCCTACGAGTTTCAATTTCGTCCAAACGCATTAAAACGCTATTAGATTTTCTTCGTCCTACGGATAAACGTAGAAAAGGGGATTCGCTAGGAGCGCTTCTTTTGTTTTTGAGAAAAATGAGCGTAAATATTCATACAATGCGCTCTAACAGGATTTATGTTGTAGCTAATGAACTAATGGCATTCGCTAATTGGGGGGTGTCGACAAGTGTCAAAGTTGACCGGGGGGCGCTTGACTTGTTTGTTTTGGTTTTCAGTCTTTCGTCTGCTTAACTGATGCTGTGAGCAGCTACTTAGTTTTTGTCTTGCGTGAGTGTAAATTGAGTGAATCGATTGAATATTTTGTTGAGTTATTTCCGGCGCTGGTAAATATTTGTGCATTCATACGTTGTTTGTAATGTTGTAGCAATTATCCTCCTGAAATTTGTTCAGCTTTCACAATGGAAGGAGTATCAGCTTCCAGTTCCGGAGTGGATAATAAGCAAGTCGTGAAACGGAAGCACACTACGCTTACCTTGGCTCAGAAGGTGAGAATAATCGAGGAATTTGAAGCAGGAAACGGTTCCCACGAAATATTAGGCAAAAGGTTTGGTGTCGGAGCATCCTCGGTCGGTCGATTTTTGAAAAATAAGGAGTCAATTCGGATGAAACTAGAAAAATTCAGAGAACATGGCGTGGAAAATCGAAAAACGATGAAGGAGCAGAATTTTCCCTTACTGGAGGAAGCGCTTTACCTATGGGTTTTGCAACAACGTGAGGCTAATATTATTGTCACATTGGATGTGATCAAGGCCAAAGCAGAACAACTGTTCCAATGCTTTCAAGATCTTGGTGTTTATCTGGATCTTACTTTTTTGATTTCGGATGGGTGCGCCGTTTTAAACAGCGTTTCGGATTACGTGTTTGGGTGGTGGCAGGAGAGAAAGCTTCCGCGGATAAAGAAGCGTACCTTAAATACCTTAAGGAAGTGCTCATGAAGAAAGTATTGGAAATGAATGTGACAAAAGCCCATTTTTCTTTTGGTTCTGGATAACTGTACTGCTCACTACGATGGATGCGATGATTTGAAGAGTGATGATGGATTAATTCAAGTGATGTACCTTCCACCAAATGTGACAGCAGAATGCCAGCCGATGGATCAGTCGGTGATCAACGCAATCAAAACCAGGTACAAACGGAAGCTGATGCTTAAGCTTGTTTTGGAAAACGAAGATTTGCCCTTGGAACAACGGCTGAAAAATGTGTCCTTACGGCAGAGTATTGATTGGATTGCTGAAGCTTGGGACGAAATCAGTCAGGTTACCATTGAAAAGTCCTGGAAAAAGTTGTTCGATGAGTTTCCAGGTTGTGAATGGAGCATGTCTGAACAGGCGGAGGATCTTTTTGCTGATTTCAAGTCCCTTGTAGCATCAATTGATGGCATAGCCGGAACAAACACAACCGACGAGCAAATCCAGCTTTGGCTTGAGGATCGAGT